GCCTTGCATACATGTATCTCATAGCAGGAGAATGTCTGCATTCACACACAAAATACCTATTGACAGTATACTGCGGGTGATTTGCCGGTCAGTCGCGAAACGTAATTACATTATAGCTGGCGTAGCGATCTAACACACGGAGCTTGAGCTAGTTTTGGTCAGAAAAACATTTTTGTGATGCTACGTTGCTAGCGTTTAAATATATCAACTACAATGTCAGCAGATGGCCTTACATGTTTGTCATGGCAGGAGAATGTCTGCAGTCACACACACGGAATACTCATACAGTATACTCCGGTTTACCGTACATTGTGACCGTACATATACTGCATGTAGCTAACGAGGCTAGCTGTATGCTAGCGCAAAACAATGTATTCATGCAAGTTACATTGTATGGTAGCAGAATACCCGTATACGATTGCAATTATAAACACGTTATTGCTAGCCTAATATGAACCACTAGCTTTTGTTCATAGTAGTTTTATTACACTGCATTATAGTTGCCTTTCCTCCAAGCTAATGTTCATATCGTGTTAGCTACCAAGGTAAACAAAGCTAGGTTAGCATATTAGCAGGCAAGCTGTTCATTACACAACTACTACTAACGAATCTAAAACAACTAAGTTTCTCTAATATTTTGTGATTTGCATTTGATTTCGTCCAGCCAGATCCTGGCGGACAATCCATGACGGGGAAGGGATTCTACTACTACTGAGGCCTCGTGCTAAAAGGCACCGCACCGCACCGGCTGTGCGCAGGCAAGAGGAGGAGGAATGGATGATATACCGTGTATATATGTATATTTATGTTCATTTTGTACATTTCTAAAAATAAAGTTTAATGGAAATACTTAGTAGGCCTATCCTTTCTTCCCTGAATTCATATATAGCAAACCATGATTTGATTTCTCATCAAACAGTAGTAGTTTATAACGGGTAAAAATAACTTACTCTTTGTTATGAGAGTAGCTCGTAGGCCACAACGGAAAGACAAGGAGACATACACGAGTTTACAAAACCACGGCACATTTATTGTGGTAAATGCAAAGATAGGTGGTTGAGAGGATCGCAGAGTTAGTCTTCCTGCAGCCGCTTTGGAGAGAGACTGGGGCCGTAGTGTCCGGAGGTGTCCGTGATCGTGCTGATTAGCTTCTTCAGCTCCACCCCATCGTAAGACAAAGGCCCTGGGGCCGTCACACTCTTCTATAACAACAGTTAAAAATATATATGTATATAAAATATACCGCTGTACCGACGCCATGATAAGACTGATGTTACGCTGAGAGCAGCCGGGAAAAGCACTGACATGGGCGCAGCCTCTCTGGTGGTTGACTAATCAGAACGAGTGGCCGAGCTGACCAATCGGAGCACACTAGGCTCACAGGGAGGGGGGGGCAAGAGCTCCAACGAGTCGTTTAGTGGAGAAAGTGAATACTGCTGAATACACATGCTTGACAGAGATGCTGTATGCGAAACCAATGTGAGTTTGGAAAATTGCACAGTATAAATCTATTTTAGTATACCTCAACAATGTAATTATGATCAGTGGAAATGGCCATGACATGGGCCCTTTAAATGTTTTTGCGGACCTTTTTGATTACAGATTTGAAAACATCGTTGCTCGCTTTAAAAGTAGCACAATTCATTATGTCAAACCTTGGAAAGTATCTAAATATCCCTGCCCTAATGCCAAAGGAACTGCACACTGAATATGTTTTTGCCGTTTGATGTCTATGTCTGGACCGTTGCGTAAAAAGGAGGGTTTCTGCTCCGTTACTTCTCCGCTGCTTTCTTGTTCCAGTTTGAAAAGCAAACTGCAAGCAGTTTGCTTTTCGGCCCAACTGTATACTGTTTATCTCAGACGCGGAGGGTTACTGAGTTGTTGTGAAAAGTAACTTACAATTCTACCCGTGGTATACGCTCAGTATACCACGGCTAAGAACCAATCAGATTGCTTGATTTTACTTGTCCGTTTTATAAATTGAATTATTCAATTTGATAATATGTAATCAACTTAGGCATCCCTCCCAAAAAAAAAAATAATAATAATAATAATAAAAATATTCATAACTCATATTCGAACACCTGAATAATTTCGAATATTCGAATATTCGATTAATCGTTCCCATCCCTACTAAAAATGCATTTCAGCCTTTCAAATCTCACCCATGGCATTTAATGGATGTGGGCTTTTTTATTTAAGTTCAACAGTGACCTTCTTCCCAAGCGGCAGCTAACTTGTTGACGGTAAAGAGAAGATGCAGACAGTGAGTACATTTTGGGTGCTTGCTACAAGAACCAATATGCCTTTTTCGAGGTTTAGAAAATATAGAAAAAACACTCCCTGGCCAGAGGCTGTCACATTAGAAGATAATGATGCTGATGATTTCTGAGATGTACAGTATATGTACTTCAAAGTGTCTGGTTATCTCATCACCCCAGAAGCTAACTGTATAAGCTAAAATGCTTCAGCTAGCTTATTTTTTTAGTGTTTCATGAATTGAATGAGAATTAGAATACGTAATCTACTGAAAAGGACATAGGATTGCTCAGAATAGACAAGCCAAACGCTTGTAAAGTTCAACAGTGACCTTATCTCCACTCTGGCACCCTGCTTGTTGACAGTCAATAGAGGACAAAGACAGGAAGTGTATGCTGGGTGCTTACTAGAACCCATTCTACCGGTCTTCAAAATCCACAAAAAGACTTTCTTGTCAGAGCTTGTCACATTGGAAAAACTGATGTAATTCTGCTGATGGTTGCTGAAAAGCAGGTGGGCGTTGGAAGGTGGAAAGAGGCACCTTGAAGTGTCTGTGCTCTCCGATTTCCCTGCAGCTAACAAGTCTTCCTACAGCTAGCTTCAGTGTTTCAACCATTATCACGGTAAACCCACTGTTAAGCATTATATTCACTATATATTAGTGTTTAAATTACATCTAAAACTGTCTTAGTAAATAATCATGAAAATAAAAACATGTCATCTAGTGAAAAGGAGAACATTGTTAGTATGTTTGGCTAAAACCAAAGAATGGTTTTCTTTTTGTTACCTTTGATTGAGCAATTAAAACCATTTTGGGCCGCTGCCTCTGTACGCACCAGCATCTTACTTAGGTTGCTTAAAGAATCGCAAAGAAAGATTTGCATTCATCATCTGTCAACCAAATTTAACCAACAAGTGTTGACCATCCAACACTGCAAGTGGAAGGGCAAAAATGTAAATTGTTTTTAAGGAATTTGATCAGAAACCAGAGTATTGCACAAATGAAAGTTTTGACCTGGTGGTGCTTAAAGTAAAGTCATGGGGTTACCAAAGTCTTCGAGATGTATCTTTTGGTGAGCATAAATGTCAGTACAAAACAAAAGGCCAACCCTTCCAATGGTTGAGATATCTGGACGAAACATTTACGTACTAATTATTTAAGCAAAACCTTGTGTGCCAAATAAACTCAAAATGTCTTCAGAATCTTTAAAAATATTGCCATTCTAAAGACAGCCACACTGGTACTGATCAGTTCTTGAAAACATAAAATAAGGCTTGGAAAATACTGACCAACCTTACTAAATATTACAGATACAACACAAGGCTCATCATCAAACCAGTGTGGACAAACCGTACTTCACATTTCTTCTATAACCCGGACATACGATTGTATGTTTTACCCTGAAAAACAACATGGTTTTGCCCTTGAAAATATCTCCTTGTTGAGTAGAGTGGCCAAACAGTCAATATTGTGTCATTTTATGGCCTGCCTACACACACACACCTTCCATGCTCATGTGCAGCACTCCCCAACCTGAACCAATCCTTCACCCAACCCTCCATCCCACTAGATAACTTACTGTAGCTTATTACTCTCAGCCAGCCAGCCACTAAATCTTTGACATGCTTATAAAGCCAAGTTAATGGATTCCAGGAAGGGGAATAAAAAAGGTTTGTATTGTATACCTTCTCCATCCTCAAAGCACTCACAACTCTATGCTCAATAAATTACTTTGCTGATATGATAGGGCAGTATTTGGGTTTGGGTTACTAAATAACAGAGTCAGTTAGGCAGCGACATATTGCAGAGACATGCTAGAGCTAATGGCCCAGAGCCATTAGTCATTACCATCAAATAAAATTAGTAGTCAAATAAAAAGTCTAACTCACATCCTTGATGTTAGGTAAGAGAGAAAGAGCCTTTTTCTTCTGGATGTACGTTTGTTATTTTCATGTTTATCTCCTGAATTAAATATGAATGAATGATTATACAAGTCTGAAATGCAGTTGTAAAAAAAAAAATGTTCTTTTCTCTGCTTGGTGGAACATGACACATTGCCTTCTGAAGCAATTCTGAGAGTCTTCTGAATACAAATGCAATCAATAAGAGGTCACTATTTTGGATGAACCCCTGTGATTCACCCTCTAGGAACAGAACGGCTAGTCTGATGTAACAGGCACACCAGCAACACTGTAGCAAACAACAGACTATTGAGTGGTGATTCTGTGGGAAGACACTCCTGTATAACCACCTGCTCCCTTATCACTCACTAAATGGAAATGAATCCTTTATATGTATTCTTCGGCTTAAGCATACAGGTGGATGCAAAAACTGCGTAGTTTGTGTGTCTTTTGTGTTTAATGTCCAGTATATGAACTGCTGCCTCATTCAGTCTGCATTTGAGCAAAACTAAAAAAACAGATGGGGGATATTGTCGACAAAACGAAATGTATCTGTCAATTGAAAAATGTATTACTCTATATGTGTTTGTTTACTGGACTGGAGGTGAGGAGTATTTGCCTTATGTGTGTGTTTAGGCGAGGTAGGGGAGGACTGAAAGGAAAGAAGGGAAAATAAAAGAGATCAACATAGAAAGACACAAGGAGGGGTGTCAGAGGGCGTGAATGTGTATTCCACTTGATTTCTTCAGGGCTTCTTCTTTCCCCCTTCCTCCTCCCCCCCCCCCCCACCTCAAGGCAGAGATTTACATAAAGTGCTAAAAGGGAAGCTGACAGAGCAGGGCAGGTGATACTGGGCAACGGACGCTGAGCAAGGAGGACCCAGAGCTCACACTGAACACAGACTCTGAGCACACACCCACACACATATACACACACCTGTGACTCCAGCAGAGTTTTTAGACCAGTACAGAGGAGGACTTTGGAAGAGGCACTATTACAAACCCCTAATTTCCTGCTGGCCTCTCGGAAGACGGTTGACTTTGACTGCAGCAAAATGCATTTTCGAGTGCAAAGGGAGTGAGCTGAGCCAGAGAGATAAAACAGGGATCATCTGACATCTTCTTCATACAACAGGTAAACTGAACCTTTGCTCTAAGAAAAAAGGACCTTTAAGAAATGTGAGAGAGATGTTCCTAAAAACTCAAGATTGTTAAATTCATCTTAAATAATAAAGGGCATTTCCTTTCCCTTTTTTCTCTATTTAATGAGAAAATACAAATGCAAGTGCAGGTGCATCATGATGGGATCTAACTGAAGCCCAGTAGCAGCTGCAACATTCATAATGACATTTACTAAGTATTTTTCTGTATATTCAGTAAGGATTATCAAGTATCTGTATGCCGTTTCCTGCATTGTCTGTGGTGTTTACACATGTGCTATCTGTACATGCTCCAGGTCTTTTTTTGCCTGAGCAAACAGCCTCAGTTGAACTGTCTGCAGCACTCCACCCACTCCACCCACAGTTTAAACGGCAGGTAGATCAGGTTTCATTTACCTTTCAAACTGAGAACAGGTAGGGCAGCATTGTGGATGACGGTTGAGCTGAAGATACACATTGCTAAGCCAGACACAAAGGGCTGAAAAAAGAAAACAGCATTTTAGATGAAGCTTGAATAGAAGGCTTCAGTTTGAATTATGTCTCGTCATAAACAAGCAGTGATGTGTATACAAATGGGTCACTGGGACAGAGAAAAATATCGGCCACTGATAGCGAGGAAGCTGTAAACCTAATCACAAAACCAAACACTGTACAAAGACAGTAAAGGGACCCTCCCATGTTTCTAGTTAGTTTATATGGGTTAAGTAAGGACTTAGTTAATAGTTGACTCTGGTTTACACTGCAGGGGCCTTTAGTTTGACCTCTAAGACCTTTGGATTACTTTCCCCCCATTTGGACTCTGGACAGTTAAAACAAAAATTTTGCTTTTTTTATTAACGGTTTGGTGTTGTTCATAGTATGTAACTTTAGCAAAACAGAATCAAGAGAGGCTTCATATGCTTTCTGGATAAAAGTAAATGCTAAGACATACAGCAGCACAAGTTTAAAAACAACTGTCAAGTCAAGGAACTGATTCAACCTGCTAACCTGGGCTAACGTTAGCTACTTCAAGCTAATGGTTATATAAAAGACCAAGTCAAGCTGTGGCAGCGTATTGCTTTGAGCAAGGTGTGTTAAATATTTCCCGCCAGGCTTAAATAGATTTGTGTTTGGTCAGTGTGTGCCCAATTGTGTGTGTGTGTGTATCTGTCTTTTTGTCCACAGCTAATCTTTCATAATATTGGACCCATCAGTTCATATTTGTTGTGCTCATATATGACTGTATGCTCAAGGCCTTTTCGTGGTTGTGGTGATTAACATTTTTGATAGACTATTTTATTTGGCAGCCTTAGTAGGAAAAAAGGACAATTCCGTCATTTGGCTAAGCTAAAAACAAACCTTACCTAGCCTGTTGCAGGCCACATTTTGCCCTTTCTCGCAACTCAAATACTGACATCCATGAAAAAGTATGGTTTCATACTCCGGTTGAACCGGAGTATCAGAAAATGAACTGCTAACAAGGCATGGTCATTTTGACTGTAGGAACCCTGGAGGTACAACTCAATTCAATACGATTAAACTATTTTCTGTCAGAGGGAGATGCAAATGGAAGAGTCTACTGAGTATATTGTTCTAGTTGCTCATGAATTCAATCTATAAAACAAAGAATACGTTGTTTTTTTCAAAATTTACTGTATACTCTCACCTAAAGTATCTCAAACTGCATTTATGTACCCAAAAAGGGACTCTTCACTACCACCAGTAGCATGGCGTGGGGAAAAATTTAGGGGAAGCCCATTCTTTTGGGTTGGGTTAATTTATGCAGACACGCCCCCCCCCCCAAATGCAATACCAGCCGCTCAATGCGCAGTGCAGATTCGGTAATGAATAAAAAAGAAGGGTTTGAATGGGATGAAGCCACTTTGCCTCACTTTTATCCGAACTGCAGTGCATTGTGGTCAGCAGAGCGGAGATTTTCAGGATTTTCAGGATTTAATTCAAAGTTTAAAACCTGTTTGGGGAGTTTATATCAGTTTACTTAACTTCGGGCCTCTGAAGGGAAGCTAGAGACGGCTGGCTTCCCTTGGCATGGCCCTGACCAATCACAGGTTGGCAGGGGCATCACGTGGGCCTCATCTGATTGGTCAATCCCTCACCAAGGGAAGCTAGATTCCCCTGGCCTCCTCTCGCAACAGTGAATGCAATCTACTGTTTCACCATAACATCTAGAGAGGGGCGCTGTTTGTTTCACTCTTTCTTTGTAAAATACTCAATGAGAGTGGGGGAGAGACGGGCCGGCAGCAACAGCAAAGGAGAATTATCGAAACAAAACAAAGTGTTTTTATTTATTTATTTAAATTATAACTACAATCCGAAAAAACAGGGGAAGCCTGGCTTCCCTTGGCCTCCGGGAGAAAACGCCACTGACTACCACTAGAAGCCTCAGAACTGCCAAGTCGTGATTTCTGAAAATGACCTACTACAAAAACCTAGGGGTACGCAAAGATGATTTCAGTCTAGCAAGGGTAACAACAGCAGAGGTACTCATTAAACTGAGCGCCCTCAAACCTAACAAGGCCACTGGCCACGACAATATCCCCTCCAAATTCCTCAGAGACACAGCAACCGCCATCTCACCAGTCATAGCTCACATAATTAACCTCTCCATAAAACAGGGAAAAGTACCCAAAGACTTCAAAATTGCAAGAGTAACCCCCCTGCACAAAAAGGGCAGCAAATTGGACCCAGGCAACTACCGCCCTGTTTCTATACTTACCTCCATCTCGAAAGTCATGGAAAAAATAGTATATGAACAGGTCGAAAAGTACCTCGCAGAAAAGAAACTAATCTATGAATTTCAATCTGGCTTTAGAACATCCCACTCCACTGACACATGCCTTCTTTATTTGAACGACCACATCAAACAAGAGGTGGACGAGGGTAAATACTGCGGCATGGTGATGCTGGACCTACAAAAGGCTTTCGACACTGTCAATCACCCCATTCTGATTGACAAGCTAAAAGCAATTGGTTTTGATAAACTATCGGTGAGCTGGATGCAATCCTACCTGGAGGGGAGAGAACAGATGGTGGAGGTAAACGGTACTCTGTCCCCCCCCCTCCCAGTGAGCTGTGGTGTTCCACAAGGAAGCATATTAGGTCCGTTACTGTTCCTAATTTATGCAAATGACATGTCATCAGCATGTGACTGCAACTTGTTCCTGTTCGCGGACGACTCAGCCCTGCTGGTCTCTGACAGGAGCAGATTGCAGGTTGAAAAAACCCTCAGCTCCGAGCTCGGCAGAATCTGCACCTGGCTCGCCGATAATAAATTATCATTACACCTGGGTAAAACAGAGTCCATTCTCTTCGGTTCGAAACATAATCTCAGCAAATCCGACGACTTCTCAGTTGCAGTGGGTGACATTATTGTCACAAGTAAGAAGGAAATTACATACCTAGGATCTATTCTTGAGGCAAACCTCTCCTGTGACAAAATGGCATCCAATGTAATAAAAAAAGTCAATCAAAGAACTAGATTCCTATACCGGATCTCCTCTCTGGTAAACAAAAACACCCTGAAAACTCTGGCAGGAGCACTCATTCAAGGGTACTATGACTATGCTTGCACGTCATGGTACCATAGCACCTCCAAGGCGCTAAAAATAAAACTTCAAACATCGCAAAATAAACTGGTCAGACTACTGCTTGACCTTTCATCTAGAACCCACCTCACCTCTGCCCACTTTGACAACCTAGGATGGCTTAGAGTAGACGACAGAGTACAGCTACTTGCAATGGGCCTGGTCTACAAGATCCACTACACCTCTATGGTACCCATGTACATGTCAAAATTCTTCCCAAAGGTCAAGGAATACCATGATCATAACACCAGAGGGAGCTCCACAAATCATGTAAAACCCAGATTTGGCACAAAAAAAGGGGAATACACATATCGCAATTATGCCACATCAAGGTGGAACGCTCTTCCCACAACTGTAAAGGAAAGTAAAACTATACTTACCTTCAAAACCTCTCTTAAAGAGCACCTTCGGGGGAAAGCATTGCAAAACTGGCCCCGGTAATGGTACAAATCTCAACCTGTCGTACAATGGACAGCTTCCCCCCCCCATCTATGTATATACTCGCATTTTAGACTCTGTTACTAACTGTATATCTGTAGACTTGGTATGTCTTAAATGTCCGGTTAGGATGTATTAGAACGAAATCTAAAATGAAAATTGTAAATAAGCCATCTGTATGTAAAAAACCACCTGTATGTAAATTGTAAATAAGCCATCTGTATGTCAAATATGTCTTATATGTCTTAAATGATATGATGAATTGGAAATGGGGGACCCTGATGTAAACAAGACGAAAGTCTTTCTCTGGTCTGCATCCCCTTAACAATTGTATGTTTTGAGCTGTACTGTACTGTACCCAATATACAAGCTGTTAATAAACTTTTCAATCAATTCAATCAATCAATCAAAGGAAAATAATTCCACAATGTTGGGACAAGATGTAACAAATAATCAGCAGGATAGTCACAACTACCTTCCACATCTTTATATCTAACAACCAGGTCCGTCCCTCCCTAAAGCCAGATCACGCAGACTGCGTGGGGCCTCACCTTGCGGAGGGGGCCTCATCTTGCGGAGGGGGCCTCATTTTGCGGAGGGAGCCTCAACTGCACCTATGCGTTTATGCGGCTGCAAGAGGGCTAGAACTACAACAAGATGGACATATTTGACCGTGATTAATTGTAATACACGTTTCAAAATGATGCCGAAGTAACAACATACTGATACCGGTTAGTAAAAACCATGAATTAATGCTTTGACAAGTCTGCAGACAGACGGCAGGCGAAAAACCTTTTAAAATGCGTGTTTTTCTAGATGGAGATTGGCTAAGCTAACGCAGTATATGCCCCGACCGTCCACACTCACAACAACGGCCTATACAGACATAAATAAGGCAGCGACTGTATTCACCATGACACAGGCAGTCTGTGGTGTGTACTTGTTTAACTTTTGTCGAGTTTCTGAACATATATAAGGAGCTGTGAGCTCTGAGTGCTCACAGCTAACGGCTGTGTTGTGTTTCTGGATTTCTCATTGAAGATGACGTCACGGCTCCGCCTACACTGCGTTACTATAGTAACTACCCCAGTTCCTAAACTGTAATGGAAGCGCAGCATGAAGTGAGTCGGAGTGTGGCGCGGCACGGTCGGTTTCGCCGCTGCGAGGCTTTGGACGTAATATGGTCGGTGTTTACATTAGCATCGCTAACATTCAGAGCTAAACTGTACTGGAGAGAGCATGTGTGTGAAGAAGCAGGAAATAAAAAGGAACTCACCTTGTGGTATAACCGGCAAGAGAGAAAGCCTTTGAGCTCCATACTGTTTCAGAAAGAATCCTTGATAATCCGTAATCCATGATATGGCGTTTCATCGCAGCATTATCTGCCGGTAGAATCTCCCGCATGAGCAGGCATAAACTCCGCCCTCTTTTTTTAAATCAATTTTTTAAAGCTTTATACCCAAAATCTGCACTTTTGAAACAGGAAGTGAAATAGAGGGATATGAGGCATTGCTAGAATGGGAGATCTGTTTGGTATTTTGAGCAAAACACTTCATAGATATGTTTTTTATATATTCTTTTTTATATATATCTGAGACCTATGCTATTGCCTAAAAATAGCATCATAGGTGACCTTTAAGACCTCACACAGAGAGTTTAAATCAAAAACACAAAGCTCACCAGAATTTAGGGATTCATTCGACTTGAGCCTGCAGGTTTGAACAATTCTGTGGAAATGTATTCAGTAAAATATATATATACATATTAGGTAGTTAGAGCCTGGTGTTGTGTTGAGGAATTTAGGGATCATTAGGAGTACAACAAAGTACAGCCTGAGGCCGTGTTCACAATGGGTTTCACCTCAACGGCTTTTGACAATGCGAGGCTGTGTTGTTATAAACTGGTCAGTTAGTTGCTGTTTATTTAGTGTTCATTATAAAGGTAAGATGGCCTGGGGCTTTGTGAAATGGTCTCCCCTTTTAAAGACCTATGATCCATGAATAATATGAAACATACACTGATTAACCAAATATGAACCTTTATGGATGTGTGTGAACACCTTGTTCAAATACTAGCTGTTGTATGTTAATTTTAGGAAAATGCCCATCGTCAAAATGGTCAAAATTAAATTCCAGTTTCCATTCAAGTTTCAATTTCTTAGTTTAGCTTTCTGCGATTCTGATCTTTTTTCTTATTTTATTTGGATGAGTTAATGAGACTGAACTAGTAATTGTTAAGGTGCCCCAAAGCAGCTTAATTTCAATATGAGGAACAATGATGTAAATATTGGAAATGCTGGAAGGTTTTAGTAAAGGTTTTTGTAAAGGTTTTAGCTGCGCTCTCACTGGAAGGCGGCGTTTGTCTTCTTAGTGTTAGATTAGATGGGGTTAAAAAAAAATACTCCACTGTGAAAAATTACATTTTATCTGTATACACTTTTGTACAGGACCCTCCAGCAAGTGACCACAACCGATAACAGAATTTGAGTTAGAGCAATAGGGAAATGTAGTCTTGAACAGTGATTAAGGGGGACTTTACAAGACAGGTGTAATTATACAGAAAAATCTGTCCTCATCCTACTAAAGCATGTTGAATTCAGCAGAGATGAAAAGAGAGAGTTGGCAGAGCAGGAATTTCAAGGGTAGATGGAGAGATTAGACGCAGAACAAGCAGGGACTTTGTGTAGATGGGAGTGCTGAGACAGGGCTAGCCCTGAGGGCACAGAGAGGAGAACACCTGTGCTCTAAAGGACTATCCATCATCCCACACACACACACACACACACACACACACACACACACACACACACACACACACACACACACACACACACACACACACACACACACACACACACACACACACACACACACACACACACACACACACACACTTCACATCATGGGCCTTTAATGTCTAACCTGACAGGTTGCTACCAGTATTTGTATCTTAAATCTGAAAGAATAAGACAAGGAAACCATACTAAAATCAATCAATAATTTGGTTTACATGTCGTTAATGCCCAGATTTCTCAACACCAATCTTGTGACCTACAGTGTCCTACAGTGTCTCAACACCTGGTCAAGGAATTCATATTTTAAAGTTTCCACTGTGCCGTCTGATATACAGATTAAGACACTCATGGTCAAAAAGTCACATTAACAAAGCAACCTGTGTTTTTCCCTGATTCTATTCCAGGTATGGGAATATACTGTAACTCACCCAGAACAATCTTTCACCAGCTGCTCGATGCAAGGAGGGCCCAAGGACCCTGTGTACCAGCTGGTGTACTTCTGCACGCTACGCTGGCTACCATATTCAGTTATTTGGGATACTTGTAAACAGCACAGCGGCCATTTGGCTAAAGGCTCTCATTAACTCCCAATGTAGTGGTACGGTTACGGTATACTAACAGTATTCTAGCCCCATGAGAGAGTATATGAATATAAATGTGGCGGTTGATTAGATGTTCATATTTAGAAGTTTTCCAAAAACGTTTCTGTGTTCTTTTTCTAAAAAAGTGTTACCGAAAACTAAAACAAACGAAGACCTTCAAATCTATAAGAGCACTGATGTCAGATATCTGCCAAAGCCATTTACATAACTAAGAAATAATGCTTTTTTCCGCTTGTGGTCAAATCCCCTCTAAATTTAATAAGATTGTCCTGATTGAAGATTGTATCTTTTAACCAAGTTATACAAATCAGGCCAGGCATTTTTCAGTAATCCTGCTAACAAACAGAAAAACAAACAGAGCAAACCATAAGTTGTATAGATCCTGTGCATGTGTTTATTTGTACTGTATATACTGTACTGTAAATGTACCAACAGAGTGAAAAACTGAATCTCCCTAAAAAGTGTCTTCTTCTTCCTATAAGGTTTCTCCAGCGGGGTGCCAAAGGGTTAAATGCTAACAGAAGCATCAAACGTCAATAGTTTAAAATAGCTAGCAAAATAGCAATCGGGCTATATAGCCTACTATATTATTGGAAATTTGTGAAAGATAAATCATTTACCAGTCAACGTTACACCGGTCAACACTAAAATACCAACTCTGGCTGTTAGTAGAGGTTTACAATTTCAATAATTCATTCTGGAATAAAGGGTCTGGGATATGGCTAGCCTTAGCATTTCCTGTTCGGGTCTCATGATTGGAAAATCTTTTATTGTAATCCATAAATAACTAAGCGTTATATAAACAATAACACAGTGTGTGTGCCGTGTGCCCCATCGTATGGACATTGACCTTCCCGTTCCTTTGTTGCCATTTCACTGACTCATTTAATTGGACTGTTGCTTCAGTTCCTCAACACATTCATCCCACTTGGCATCACACCTGTGAGGGAAATACTCATTGACAGACTAAAACCTTATTAGCTCATCTAAGTATTAGTAACTGTATGAGGGTAAAATGGGCTTTATAACATGTGCAAGGATGTACTAAATCGTGTTTACTTGTTGGGATTATGTTGCAGTTTTTATGATAAAAGCAGCAAGATACCTTTGATATGAAAACTAACCTGTAGGCCTACATGTGGTCTGTTTTCTTTTCAGATAATTCTGAAGTTAAGAACAGATCAAGAAAAAGTAAGAAAGAGCTGACAAGTCCAGAGGGGACTCGACAAAGGAGGGTTAAATATTCCTGAAGATGGAACCGCAGATTTGGCAAATGCAGGTTGCCCCTCAAATCTCTCCTGGAGAGCTGAAAAAGAAGGTGTCAATCATGAGCCAGCCGGAGTGCTCCATCTGCTACAACACCTACGACAATGTCTTCAAAACACCCAAGCAGCTGGACTGCACCCACACATTCTGCCTGGAGTGCCTCTCCCGCCTCATGGCCGTCTCGCTGAGTGACCAGGAGGATTCCGGCGGCAGCCCCCGCCTCTTATGCCCCTTCTGCCGCCACCCCACCATGCTGCCTGAGCAGGGGCCCCCCGCCCTCACCACCAGCCGAGAGGTCCTCTGCAAGCTGCCCAGCCACCAGCAGCAGGAGGAGCCGGTGTGGCTGGAGGGGGAGAAGCTGTGCTACAAAAGCTCCAAGCAAGACCCCAGCTTTGGCTCCTCTGAAAGCCCCTCGTCCTTCTGCATCTGCATTGACATTGGGGCCAGCAAGGTGATAGACGCTCCGATCCAGACGGGGCCCCAGACTTATGGGCTGCTGGCCCGGCTGGCGGACTGGAAGAGGCTGGTGCTCTTCATGGTGCTCATCGTGCTGCTCATCGTGGTTGTGTTATGGCCCCTGCAGTGTGTGTTCAGCACTGGGAACATGCGCTGTATACGGGGTCACGTCATCCTGAACCCCACTACCACAACGACCACCACCCTCAGCCCCTTCACCAAAACACACGGTCGGACACAGTGAACTTTAGACTGACTGGACCTCAATATAAACGCACATTATATTGTATGTGACAAATTTCACCAAATTGCTCTTTTGCCACAGATGTTAAAGCCACTTTGTGTGGCCTATTTAGATGTCGGGCTTTAGCATCCCCTAGTGTTTGGTTTCAAAATGGGTGGGATGAAAGGGTTGAAAGAAACATAGACTGAACTAATTTTCACTTTTTCTGTTATTGTGTCATGTTCCATTAGCTTGATTTGAATTAAAAAAATATGTTATCCTTAACAACTGTCATTACATGTGAATTTAGGCTTTGAAACTCAGTGGTGCAAGATGACCTCTGACAGGCACTTTGGCTCGAATTGTGTTCAGTGACACAGACATTGACAGAATCCACATTTACAGAGCGTACTAGATATCAGATGACAGAGCACGAGTGGGTTGATATGTGCATACAAACAGGTATTTCCAAATGAAAAAGTTACATTTATTTTTTTATTCAGTTATTTTGAACTTTGATTTGTAAATATATGGATTTATTTTCAACAAATATTCAAGTTTACTGTAAGGGTTAGTAAGGTCACAAAACAGGAAATGAATGTAAACCCAATGTGCCAACATGAACTTTTTAAAGTGTGCCTTTCGTCATGGCCTTGTTTACAGAAGATAATAAAAAGGGAGACTTTAGCTTGAATCATGTTTCTAGGAAACTTTGGTGCCTCATTATTTAGATTAGGATCATTTCATGACATTTGGCACTTTGTTAGGTAGTGGTTTAATCTGTATGAAAGCAGGTGTCTCAAATTCCCCTTTAAGTAGCACACAGCTCCTGACGGGCTTAAACGCAAATAGAAAATAGGTGCCATTTCCCAGAGCGCTGTTTATTATTTCCTCCCTATCTGACCCTTGAACCAAAAACCATAAAAGACAACCCTTCCTTCAGATTGGAAGGAAGGAAGAGCCTTTATTTTTATTCCGGCTTTAGGTGCGTCAGATAAAGGAAAAGTTTGGATTGGGGGGTTTTCCAAATACCTCACTTGTGACACATCTATGGACAATTCACGCTAAATTATCACAGTCATTTAGGAGCAGCCGTAATAAAGTGCTACTTCCCTGAGGAATTTACAGTAAACATGGTTAAACAATACATGCAGATAGATTAGAAAAAGGCTCAGTCATCGCTTCAAAATGGATTGTGGAAAATATATCCTAAATCAGAACGACAATAATAACTATTTATGTAAAGAACGAGTAAAAAGTTCTTGTTCATTGGCTTTATTTTTCTCTAGGGAATTTACACATTTATAAAAAAGGATAGCCAAATATGAAATGGTCTTTGCATTCCAATGAAGCAGAATTAAACTGTTTCCTTGTTGATAGCATGGCCTATTTAGATGTCGGACTTTAGCATCCCCTAGTGTTTGGTTTCAAAATGGGTGGGATGAAAGGGTTGAAAGAAACATAGACTGAACTAATTTTCACTTTTTCTGTTATTGTGTCATGTTCCATTAGCTTGATTTGAATTAAAAAAATATGTTATCCTTAACAACTGTCATTACATGTGAATTTAGGCTTTGAAACTCAGTGGTGCAAGATGACCTCTGACAGGCACTTTGGCTCGAATTGTGTTCAGTGACACAGACATTGACAGAATCCACATTTACAGAGCGTACTAGATATCAGATGACAGAGCACGAGTGGGTTGATATGTGCATACAAACAGGTATTTCCAAATGAAAAAGTTACATTTATTTTTTTATTCAGTTATTTTGAACTTTGATTTGTAAATATATGGATTTATTTTCAACAAATATTCAAGTTTACTGTAAGGGTTAATAAGGTCACAAAACAGGAAATGAATGTAAACCCAATGTGCCAACATGAACTTTTTAAAGTGTGCCTTTCGTCATGGCCTTGTTTACCGAAGATAATACAAAGGGAGACTTTAGCTTGAATCATGTTTCTAGGAAACTTTGGTGCCTCATTATTTAGATTAGGATCATTTCATGACATTTGGCACTTTGTTAGGTAGTGGTTTAATCTGTATGAAAGCAGGTGTCTCAAATTCCCTTTAAGTAGCACACAGCTCCTGACGGGCTTAAACGCAAATAGAAAATAGGTGCCATTTCCCAGAGCGCTGTTTATTATTTCCTCCCTATCTGACCCTTGAACCAAAAACCATAAAAGACAACCCTTCCTTCAGATTGGAAGGAAGGAAGAGCCTTTATTTTTATTCCGGCTTTAGGTGCGTCAGATAAAGGAAAAGTTTGGATTGGGGGGTTTTCCAAAAATACTTCACTTGTGACACATCTATGGACAATTCACGCTAAATTATCACAGTCATTTAGGAGCAGCCGTAATAAAGTGCTACTTCCCTGAGGAATTTACAGTAAACATGGTTAAACAATACATGCAGATAGATTAGAAAAAGGCTCAGTCATCGCTTCAAAATGGATTGTGGAAAATATATCCTAAATCAGAACGACAATAATAACTATTTATGTAAAGAACGAGTAAAAAGTTCTTGTTCATTGGCTTTATTTTTCTCTAGGGAATTTACACATTTATAAAAAAGGATAGCCAAATATGAAATGGTCTTTGCATTCCAATGAAGCAGAATTAAACTGTTTCCTTGTTGATAGCAGCTACATAAGACACTTTCTTTCAATACTTAATGCGCCTCGTGTTAAAATGCTGAAAATAACAGCAGCGCTTACTTCAAACTCATTCTTGTGGTTTCCCCTCTTTCTTTTTATCAAAAGTTATAAAGCAACATTTCTACAGATCATAAAATAATCTTTCATTACCGTTTAATTTGCATTTTTTCCGGAATGCGTTTCCTGCCTTGCTTTTTTTATATTAATCCTTGTTAACTCGTGTTCACTGGGCTTTATTCTCCATCATCACACGGTTCATGCTCCAGATTCACACAACAGAAATAAAGCAATATCCAAGTGCGACTTAACATAGTGCCATCATAGATTTTTATTAAACTGTATGATAATAAACCATTTTGTTGCCATTTCTGGCAGCTCATTGCATCAGCATTTGTAGCCTATACAGCGAAAAAGGCGTCTGGGCAGAGCCAGTGCAAGAAGAGGGGGAGAAGGGGGGACAACACGGGAGGTCACCACTACTCACTTCAGGCATACTGCCACCAACAGAAACAAGGAATCAAAACAAAAAGACATCATGTTCAAGTAAGAGTAAGAGGACGAGCACAAAGAAAATACCGTGACTACTGCATACCTCCATGTATGCTGGTTCAACTCAAATGTACTCATCAAAGGTGAAATTACACCAGAAATAATAACAATTCAGACACATTACAAAATGCAAGAGTGGATAAAACAATCAATTACAAATACCATTTGAAATGAAACAAGAAAAAAACAAACACTGAAAAGTCTAGTGCACTACCAAAAATACTCCCACAGCCGACAGACATCCACACACACAGGCCAAAGATTCAGCAGTTTCACACTTTCAAGTATTGATGCTTCACCATATCATTAGAAAAAAAGTTTGACCCATAGAGGCAAAGTGAAATACAATAATCTATAAAAATCTAAATTATCCACAGCGCAAGATGGTTCAGAAACATAGACACAAACCCATGAAATTCATTCATCGGACATACAGTAGATCACAGTTCAGAAGAAAAAGGACAAAAAGGAAAAAAACTGAAGAATACAAACATCTTCATTGTCCAAATCTACCGAAGTACATCGAGTGGTGCAGCATATTTCAGACAGACATTGGCCTTCACTGACAGGGCATCAATGCCACACATTAATACAACATAGCTTTTATTCACATAAGGAATCAACCATTAGAATACACTTGCAGCAATTTATGGCGGGAAAACTCTCAACGCTGAGGGAAAAGAAGGACAGCAGTTTCAGCTGAAACTTTAATAAAATTATTATTTTAAAAACAGAACTCACACAGAGTGGCTGCTGCAGCTTACACTGTGCCTTTATTTTAATATCCCGCACATGTCAACAGTATCAAATTACAGTTTATTACAGTGCAATGACTGACTTCTACTACTTCAGTTTATTTTGATTACGCATTGTATTTTAAATAATTTATTTTTAAATATATGTATGAGCCACAGCAGCAGAAACTGGCCAATGAGTGAAGAAAAGTGAGTGTCCTTGACCTGGTTAGCTAACATCTCTGTTGGTGAGGAAGAGGAATGGTCTGAGCGCTCATTGATTGATTATTCCTTTTTTTCAGAAAAAGGTGGAACACATTGTCTAGTTTTTATTTGTTGGACTTGATGATCAAGTGGTTCCTTTTTAAATACGTTGGGTCAGATTTCAATGCTTCTGCACTTGTATTTGATCAGGATATTTTGGTGCTGATCCTGGAGCTATAAATAGCAAACAATCTGGCAGACAGTGCCGAGGGCTCAGCGCTCCGCAGCACCACCGTCTTCGTTATCGCATCACTGACGTGGGCTTACTCGCCCCGCTATCATCAAGCCTGGATTATGTCCATCTTCCAAATTACTTTTCGGAGACAAATCTATTCTTCAATCTCAGGCAGATGGCCATCTGGCCCGCGTCATAATCACCCCGTTTTCCCTCGTCTCCTTGTGACCATCTCCTCCGACAGATGTTGAACTGCATCAGACCCGCTGATTTACGAGGGCAGCCAGTCAAAAGCTGAGCTGAGAGACGGCCATTCAGGAATCCTCTACACCTGTTTCCTGTCAAATGTGGACCGCTATTACAATCTATCGATAAATCATCTTAAAATCTGTGGATGCTGCTCAGACGACCGTGCTCAAACGTGATCTCTTCCACCATAATGATTCTTTATAAAAGTATGAATTTGAAGAATCTCATATGTTACACAAATGTCAAGAATTATTGAAATAATGAAAATATGGTGATTTGAAGGACAGACATTTTCATGATTGAGTTTATACTCAAAGTGGGACCAGCTGTAGGCCATCCAATGACAGACAGGGCTGATGAATTTGTTCAAATAATGACCTCAAATTCTCACAGAGCACAGAACAGCTGATTTGCATATGCAGAAGATCATATGCCGTACAAACAAACAAATACCTTTTTTTAAAAGCTGAAATGATCCTGATAAAACCTTTTGGAGGAAAGGGCTTGTTTGCCCTTCACCTGTGCCTCAGGGTCCTTCAGCAGGCTACGTAACGGTCCCTGCGATCACTCAGCGGCCACATTAATAACCGCCACAGCTGGAGAGACAGAATGCCTCAAAACAGTCTTAGGCTCAGGCTAAAATGAAAGACAAAGAAAGAGGAATAGCGAAGGTGAATTCTGGCAAGGAGCAGACAAACAGCTTAGCTTTGACCTCTTCTCAGGTCCCGTACAGTTCTGTTCTATTCAGGCCGGGGAACACTCCTAATTTTCCTTCATCCAGAGCAAAAACAACTTTGATTTCCAGAATTTGGAAAAGTGGTAAAAGTTGAGGGGGAACAGCACGATTTAGAGGGATTACAGACACATCCTGAGTCAAGGCACTTACGCTGAGAAAGAAAGGAAGTGGGGGGAGAAAGGGGGGAGAGTCCTGAGCGAGAGCATTATGCTGTGGAGTCATCCTCTCTACGGAGGGTAAGCTTTGACTCGGTCCAGCAGGAGAAAGGGGGTCGGCTCGCAGCATGCAGCCCAGGCAGGGTGCGCTGATGCTGGGTGTAGTCAGAGACTCACTCCCTCCTGCCCCAGAGGGATTCAGGCGCTGATGAAGCGACACCTCCGCTGAAACTGAAGCAAACACAAACAGACAGGAAGACAAGTGGAGTTAATGGCTGGTGTCACTTTGAATCATGAACATCAGGACAGGATGTAAATCAGGATATGGAGCTCAAAGCAGCATTTATATAGCATGCAGTAGCTACACACAAACTAGCTACACATGACTAGATCAAATCCAAAGATTGGATTTCAAATGTAATTTGATTTTAAATACGTTTTAGATTGACTTGAAATGCTGTTAACCAATCACAACAGAGCTGAATTTCTGAGTGCTTAACGGCTTAGAGATGCCCTGCCCATTAGCCTATCGGGTTATAATGTGTTGTAGCGCTAGCCAATAGAAGCGTGAGTGTTACTTGGAGATATACAGTATCATATATAACTTCCAAGTAAACAGAGGAGTCCAATAAAGGCGTTTCAGGCAGGGGGGGAGTTGGTGGGAGAGAAACTCCCAATGGAGGGAACTTTGGGATTTTTGCCTTTGCAGACCATTTACATGCACAGAAACGTGTATATCACAGTTCAGGAAAGGGAAAACTCCAAAAAGCAGTATAGGGCCCCTTTAAAACCATATTTGATGGCCCTTTATGGCTGCGAAACAAAAGCAAAACACTTATTTTAACACAATGACATGTAAAAAGGATGAAAACAATATGCATATTTTAATGCCCCATAAATAACTTGAATTCCTGCCTCACAATGTATGCCTTCACAGACCATTCAAGTCGCAGTTTGAATCAATATCTGTCCAAAATGCCATCATTTTATGAAATGATCCTATAAGTTACCAAATTATTATCAGTTC